AGTATTTATTTTGTACTGATAAATATGAAGATAATATGATATTAGAGACAGTTGATCTATATATATATATATATATTGACCTATTTCATTATCTTACTTCCCCTTTTTTATGTATTAATTGTTTTGTGGCAAATTACTTATTTGTGGTTTGTATGGTAATCACTAATAAATAACTGTTGTATTGATGGTATTGCTTTAAGAAATATTACTACGCATATATATATATATTTTTCAATATTATTATTATTATTTATTATTCTTCTCCTCACATGTAAACGAGTATTATGAATTATCATCTATCTGTCTTCGTTTTTGCTCTTACAAACAGGTCTTTTCCTTTCCTACAAATGTAAAACTCCTTACTAATACAAAGAAAATTATGACAAGTAATATATTATGTCATTATGTAGATATGTTCAAAATTATCTGTTATCTTCATTTATTGATATAATTAACAAGGATAGACAATTGTTGAATTGATAGAAATATAAGATCAATTTATATAAATCCATATAAATGAAATCAATTTATATATACTCACTTATTATTGAATTAATTTATTGAAATAATAAGTATAGAATGATATTTATTAAAATAAAAATATTCATATACATTTTGACAATTATTATGTTTAAATTTTTGGTGGCTTATTGACATCGATTAAAAGATGTTAAATCAATCGATATGAAACAAAGAGAAAAAACGAAAAGAAAGAAACTCTTTTCATTTTATATAGATATCTTATGATGCAATTTTTTTTTATAAATAAAAAAGCAAATATTTCAATTATATCATATAAAATACTTCACAAAAAAAAAAAAGAAAAAGAAAACGAACTTTTCAAATGTTTTTTTTTTTTTTTTTTGTTAATATCGATTGTATTTGTCTGTTATAATTAAGCACTTTTCTTTTTAGCACTTGATTTTGGTTTACCTGATTTTGCTTTAGCTGATTTTTTCTTTGGTAATTCAACTGGTGATAGAAGTAATTTTATTAAATCTATTGAAAATAAAAATCAATTAAGATATAAGATATAAACAATATATATATATATTACCATCATAAAGAAAATATCCATCACCACAACTAACTTGTGATAAAATAAGTTCAATTTCATCTTCTGCCCAATCACAATTTCGTAATAAATTAGTAAA